TCTGTGGGTGAGTGGCGGAACTGCTTGCGAATGATGTACAGGAAATTTCCCTGGACATGTAGCAGCTCATACTCCAGCCCCGTCATACTCCTGTATAGTAACAATATCAAATACATGTAATCAAGACACTCCATCATGCTCACACGTGTGTGTGTGTGTGTGTGCGTGCATTTACGTAGACCAGGTGTGCATTGGGGGGTCGATTCACATGGCTTCGCCAGTTGTGTGTCTTAGGCAGTTATCTGGCGCAAGGTCTTGATCTGTTTCATTCAGATCTTGTCTGCTATTGTTGCTATCAGAGAAAATCTGTGGGTGCACGCCCAGTGCATTGGCAGTTTAGCGTGCTTCTCTTGCGACGGGCGGATAAGTACATGGCAGGACCGCTGGCCGGAAGCAGTTTTCGATTGGCCCGGTAGTAACATGGCCTTTCATACTTTGTGTGTGATACGGCGGGTATAAATAACCTCCACTGTAGTAAACACAATGTTGGCGGCCAACAAGCTGGTACGGTAATAACCGGACCAACCGGACCGGTTCCGGCGGGCCTGCAAGGTACGTGGCGTGCACGTTTCTTGTGCAGGTGCATTGCAAGTAGGTGTCCAACCAGCCATCTAACTAGGCTGCTGCACCGGTATGTATTTCCAACAGACATGTACACAATCATGTACACAATCAGTATTATTTGCTTCTGGATTCTCTGAAGGATGAAACACTACTGTTCACGGGTTGAGTCCATTCTTACTTCAAAACGGACAGAATGAACATGATACTGTGCGTCCCTGGGGTGTTTTAGTGTCGCCCTGGTAAATCGTAACAGAACATTGGTGTCTCACTTGATTGTCGACAATTCTCTCCGCTGCATTCGAACGACTTCATTGTTGCACGTTCGATCGTAGAAAGGATTGGAGCGCTGAGAGAAGTACTCCAGCACATTGCTGGGTTGCAGAATCGGAATCCAAGCACTGTCGTGCCACGATAGGTGCAGCTTCTTTTCCACAGACATCAATGGTGTAGTTCAAAAAGGGTCAATCGAGAGGAGAGAAACTAACTACACCGTGTACTTCCTTCGACAGATTTCATCTCACAGAGAACACTTGGATCATCTCGATTCAGCTAGAGCACTAAAAGAACCAAAATTGTGACCAGAAAGAGACCGTCCTGAACATGTAGTAATACTAATACACTAATAATTAGTAATAATAACTGTCGTAGTTCATGATGCCTCAGCATGTAGTTCCAGCAGCAGTGGTAAAAATAAATTTTCATTCTTTTCAATTCAAATGCCAGTTCCGCGAATCTGGGAAATCCCCTACACGCAGTAGCTCTACGTACAGTGAAAAAAACACCAGTCCTGTGTAGAGGGCCGGGGACGGTTTCAAATAGGACACCGGTTGCAAACCGGAACGGACTCAATATTCACTTTCTCTCTTGGTATTTTGATTAGAAAACATGTCACAGTGAGACTACGATTAGATGTGTTATACTCCGAGCCAAAATTTCATGGCTCTGCGATGACCAGAAGCGCCATATCAAGCAGGTGAGTTTTTGACGTGTTGCTTCGCACTGCGACTTGAGTTTTACGACTTTCGAAAAATCAACTTCTTGTCGCAGGTAAACAGCGGCTCGCCTCTCGCCAATAAAGCACCGCATACCAATCAAAACTAATGGAAGCACACACAAGGCTTATTGTTACTCTGTACTGGCCGTCGTGGAGCGATAGCAATTACCTAATTTCAGACCCAGAGTGAATTTGACGTGCACTCTAAAACGTGTCCGGTTTGGAGCCACCTCTGATTTGAACTTTTTTGAAGCGAAAAATTGGGCAACTTGGAGGCAATGGGTCAACACAAAGGAGTGGCTCAGTTCGATTGACTCTGGCCCCAGAGCAAACTTCAACATGCCAGTTTCCTTCCACAAACATATTTCGAGTGAAAAATCAACGCTGATGATCGGTTTGGGTCTATACAAATTTGGCTGTCAAAACGTCCCGGTATCGAGCCGTCCCCTCTACATGCAAGAGTACATGAAAACCAGAGTGTGCAGCTTGGGGTCTACTCTGCTATGGCAGTATGGGTGTCTGTCACGGCGAAATTCCGTGATTACATCCAGGGAGTCGTAAAATACCAGGTATTTTACGACTCCCTGATTACATCATATTTGCTGCAGATCTGAGGCGGGAAATGGCGTAGTGCGTATGTGATAACTAGCTCGGGGAGCGTTCCGGTTAGTCTCGCCCATGGCTGTGTCGTCTCTAACCCTCGGAACGTTTTGTGACAAGTATAGTCACGGCTGGCATAACGCAACTTCACCCAGTCCTAACCCAACACACACATAACCAACTGATCTCGTCAGAGCAGAGAATATGTTCCTGTTTGGAAGAAGAGCACCGAAAGAACCTCTCGCTAAAAGCAACAGCATGCTATGATATAACACATTGTAGAAAACAGCAAGCAGGGGCAGTAGTGATAGTACTTGCTAAACATGCAGCTAAACTGCTACTTTGTCCTCTGCGCGGAACGGCGATCGGACACGCAGACGCACACACATACACATACACGCACAGGTCTGCGTGATCTAGAAGCGGCGGTCATCATGATAACATAAATATGCAAAGTGTGAAAGAGTATTAGAAAGGGGCGAGACTAGACCCGGCGTCTGGACTGCAATAACCTGATTAAAAGCATTGCCAACCAAGTGGTCAAGTAGGTGCACTCACACTCATCCACACCTCGCGTACTACTACTATATTGCGAATTCATAATTACATTGTATTGCACTTTCTACCGCAAGTGCACAGTCGTGCGCTTCATCTATTGACAGCCAAACCTATCATCAAGAGTACATAACTGTTCCAACTACGGAAGACATAGTGTGTCCACGTTCTACGCACAGTAGCTATCAGCAGTAAGTAATAGTTACAAGCCCTCACTCCCGGGCTATGACATCTCCCCGCGCCTTCGAAAAGACTGCCACGTCCTCGTGGCGACAACATTCGGCTTACCGTCGTCTTCTCAACTGGGTTTGCATCCCATAGTACTGCGGTGGCCGGACGGTCCTCCCAGCTCGAGTCTGAACCGCAATCTGGGCTGGTTGTGGCGGTGGCTGGTTGACTGGTAGCGGGATCTGCACAACTGGTTGGCCGCCAACACCGTCCACGCCGCCATACGTCTCATGCTGGGCATCCTCATCAGAATCCCAATACAACAAGTCTGTAGGGTCCGGCACATACACATCAGCCGGGGGCGTTTCGACAGACTCAGCATCTTCAGGTTCCTCCACCTCACTCACAGCGTGAAGATGGTTAGGCCTTACTCTACATCGTTTTAGCCTGTTCACGTGCACAATCTGCACCTTGACACTGGCCGCTCGTGTATCTCTCACCCGATACACTACGTCTGACAACTTCGTTACTATTTCAAACGGCCCTTGCCAGAGCTTGGAGAACTTCGGAGTAGTCCCCATCGGAACTGCTGGTACCAACAACCATACCAGATCTCCTTCTGCGAATGAAACGGGTACTGCTCCCGAATCATGCAAGTGAGCTTGATGCTTGTGCACGGTTTCCAACTTCTTCCGCACAACTGCATGCACATGCGCTAGCCTTTGTCTCAAATCTCTGACATAGCTAGGCTCGCATAAGCTGACCATCTCATCAGGTGGTAAGCCATAAGCGACATCCTGTGGCAGACACATCTGTCTACCGAACAGTAGATACGCAGGCGTGTAACCCGTACTCGCCTGAGGCGTGGCTCTGTAAGCCATCAAAACCGCCGGCAAATGCACATCCCAATCTCGCTGATGCACATCGACATAGTGAGAAATCATCTTCTCCAATGTCTGATTAAAACGCTCTACCAACCCATTTCCAGCAGGGTGATAAGCCGTCGTCCTGGTCTTTTTAATACCAAGCATTGAACAGACATCTCTGAACAATCTGGAGTCAAAGTTTTTGCCCTGGTCAGTGTGCACACTCTCCGGTGCTCCAAACCTTGCAACAAACTCACCCACAAACTTTGAAGCTATCGTGGATGCATCCATCCTTTTCAGCGGATACGCTTCAACCCATTTGGTAAAATAGTCAACAATTACCAAAATGTGCTTGTTGCCAGCATCTGTCTCTGGCAATCCGGGAATCAAATCCATTCCAACTCTCTCGAATGGATATCCCGACCAAGTGACCTCTAGTGGTGCGCCACTGCCACGCCCCACAGGCCTCGATCGTCGACTGCACGACGCACAACTACCAATCCAGTCTTCCACATCTCTCTTCATGCCATACCAGAAGAGCTTGGACTGAATCTGGTGATACGTTCTAGTCACCCCTAAGTGACCTAGATGATCATGGTACTCACTCAGCACCTGACCGCGCAACGCACTGGCACCAAAATTTGAAACTTTGTGCCCTCTCCTGCGTTCTCACTGTGCAAAACGCGACATATCACGTCCTCTCGCACCACAAGACATTTTCGTCCTCGGAAATAATGCCTCAGAGCCGGACTCACACCAGTCAAGTCAGGCGAAGATGACCCGGAGCTGAGCCACTCACTCAGCCGTGTCAATTCATGATCACGTTGCTGAGCATCAGCCCAATCAGCTGATGTCCAGTTTCGTCGCCGCACAAAGGGCGTAGGAAGGTCACTCTGGACCGACTCAGCATTCGCCACTGAGCTCCTTTCGTCTGATACCACAGCGATCACCTCATCAGGGACTGTGGTGCCACACCTCTGATCCTGCACTTGTCGAGACAAGCCATCAGCATTGGCATGGACTTTACCTTTCCGATAACGCACCTCGTAATCGAAATCACTCAGAAACTCAAGCCACCGCGCCACGATCGCACTTGGTTCTTTGAAACGGTTCAGGTATTTTAGTGCCTGATGGTCTGTGCGCACGACAAACCTTCGACCCAGCAAATAGCATCTGAAATGCCTAAATGCCCACACTAGTCCGAGGAGTTCACTCTTCGTCGAGCCATAATTCCTCTCTGCAGAGTTCAACCCTCTGCTTGCATACGCAATAGGTCGCTCCCGACCATCTGCGTCGGTCTGGGACAACACAGCTCCCAAACCATGACCACTTGCGTCCACATCGACTACAAATGGGGGCGCATCGGTCTCAAACCTCGGATACGCCAACGTGGGTGCTGAAGACATCTTCTGTTTCAGCAATTGGAATGCGATCTCACACTCGCCATCCCATGAAAACCTCTGGTTTTGCCTCGTCAGCTTCACCAGCGGCCGAGAAATGGATGCAAAATCCTTCACAAACCGTCGATAGTAGCCACAGAAACCCATAAAAGAACGCACCTCTGCTACGTTCTTTGGGCACCGCCACTCTGACACGGTCTCAATCTTGTCCGGATCGGTGCGCACACCATCCTTCGTGACAACATGACCCAAGAAATTGACTTCTGTCCTCAACAGATGACATTTCGAGGGTTTCAACCGAAGACCAGCCTCCAGTAGTCTTTGGAACACTGCTTCCAGTCGTTCCAAGTGTTCGTCAAACGTCTTTGAGAACACGATAATATCATCGAGGTATACCAGGCACATCTGCCACTGCAAACCTCGCAAAACGGCACTCATCAGCCGTTGAAATGAGCTCGGGCCATTGCACACACCAAATGGCAGCACATTGAACTCATAGTGCCCATCAGGCGTGGAAAATGCCGTCTTGGCCTTGTCTGCCTCGTCCATTGGCATCTGATGATACCCAGAGCACAGATCAAGCGTCGAGAAGTACATCGCACCGCCCAACGCGTCCAACGTATCATCAATACGCGGGAGTGGGTATGGATCTTTCACGGTTATCGCATTGACTCTCCGATAATCAACACAAAACCTCGTCGATCCGTCCTTCTTCCGCACCAACACAACTGGTGAAGACCATGGACTGACCGATTCTTCGATCACACCCTGTTCAAGCATGTCGTCAACCAACTTCCGACATGTTTCTCGCGAGCTCCAAGGCAATCTCCTTGCGGGCTCATAAACTGGACCATCACAGCTAGTCCTAATCTCGTGTTTCAACACGTCTGTCCGACCCAGCTCGGACATGTTCATAGCGAATACACATCTGTACTGCTCGACCAAGGTTCTGAGCCTAGCCAACTGCTCGGCCTCAACCACAGGCTGCTCGCTGTTGCCTGTATCAGGTGGGGAGCATGCCTCCCGATTACCCTCCTGAGAGCAACAGCCATCA